CTATCAAATGACCTCTCTTGGATGGTCCCACTAGAAGAAAAAAAAATATTGAAACAATTTTGGTGTTATGGTTTTTTTTTAATCCTATCTTTTGATGGTAATATTTTCATTGAAGTTTTTATAGTGAAATTAAGCTTCTGTTCTTAATTTGATTGAAATAAGTTATTCATGAACTGTGATTAAAAGGTTCATGATGAAGAAGTAAAATTGATTCTATTTATATATTATCATTATAATAAAAAATAACAATTGATTTAACAAGTTAACTCTATAATTTATAAGAGTTTACCAGGTTAAATTAAATTAATTTTTGATCGTGTAAAAATTTTGTTTAACTTATTTTAAAAATAATTAAAATAATTTTTTTTAAAAAAAAAAAAGTTAAAACCACACTAATAAATTCAAATCAATTCTAATTAACTCATCTAACTTGAATTAATTTATTAACTACTATGTAAAATAACTTTGCAAAATAGGCTACTTTAAATAGATTCAGGAAGAAATGCAAATATATATATATAGTGACTAAAAGAAAGTGCCATGGATCATGGTTTTACTTTTGCCTCCATTGATCCATACAAATGTGTTGATAAATAGCTTTGGGAACCGACCTTTCTAAAGATGGAGCTTTAGGTGGGCCAACGTGTAGATGCTTTCCAGGTAGGGCTCTCGTGGTGTTGGGACCCACTTTCAGCCGTCTGATGTGCCACGCTTGATCACAGTCACTGATCTGATCATGTCTTTTCAAAATATAGATCTATACCGAGCACCCCCAAATCATATAATTCCAAACCACCCCTCCTCAACTCTCAAAGACCTAAAAATAAAAGGCCATTCTACGTGTACTTGCCACTCTATCCATGTCTTGCAAATATTGGAATTTGTTTTTGTAAAAAGATTTTAGTTTAGTATCATCTATGATCTTCACGTTATGGAAGTTGGAAAAAATAATTTTTTCATAAATTTATTATGGATGTGTATTGCTTTTATTAGCATAAAAAGCAGAAAATATGTATATATAAAAAAACAAAAACAATTTTTGATTAGAAAGATAGAGACAATGATCTAAAATAAATATTTTTATGATAATTTTGGAATGATTTTATAAGAAAAATATCTTTTTTTTTTAATTTTAATTATAATATACACATTTGAGTTGATCAGGTATAATTCTAATTCTATTTCTATTATTCTGAAACAAAGATATTCACGAGGTAGTTCATCATGTTCAAATATTTACAATAAAAAAATATTGAATTTTTTTTAGGTAGGCTTTGAAATGAGAAAAGAAGAAGAAGGAGGAGGCTGGAATATCAACAAAAACTTATTATTAATCCACCCGATTCAATAGTACTAATTTTATTTTGGGTCTCGGGACAATAACAAAATAGCACTCGAATAGTTAAAAATAAAATAATATATATTTAAAACAACTTAAAAAATGACATTCAGAAGGAATAGGTAAATTTTGAAGCAAGAAAAAAAAAATTAAAACTCTCACATCTTAATATAAATTCATATCCATGGTGATCAAGAAGCTTAAAAAACTTTGGTGCTTTGAAAAATAAAAAATAAAAAAGACGACTTTTGTGGTTAGAAGACCATAAAAGTTGGTGTTAACGAGTATGTTACTCTCATATAAATGCAGAAAAGAAATGATGGACAGACAGATATATATATATATATTCGCAGCTTGAAAAGTGTCATTATGAGATTTTGCATATGACAATTCATCATCTTGTACCCTATGGAGGAGCTGCCATTAAACCACAATGTCTATTGTTGGACACCCCTCCTATCATATGATATTATAATAATAATTATTATTATTTAAAATATTTTTTATTTAAATAATATTTTTTTATTTTGAAAATTATATTTTTAATGTTAATACACCAAAATAATCTAAAAATATTAAAAAAAAATTAATTTTAAATAAAAAAAACCCTCAAAAGCTTTGGAAATGCGCGGCCAGCAGCGCCTTCCAAAGTAGCTCTACTATGTCTATTATACAGTGTTACTATGGATCCAAGATTGATGTTGGCCATGCATGTATTTTGCTTTATTACTCGTTATGTATATTTAAGTTTAATAATTTTCTTTAATTCGTGACATTAGAGAATATTGTTTAGAAGTGGGTTTTTCATCAAGTAAATCATGGATGTATTCTTCTGTTATTTTATTATATGAATCTAAAATGATATATTTTCAAGATTTTTTTTAAAGAGAAAAGAAAAACAAAGTCATTTGAATGTTTTTTAAAATATAAATTAGGGTTTAACAAGATCATAAATTTATTTCTTGATCCATCAAATTTGACAAGGTTAGTTCTATTAAAAAAAAAAAACTCAACTGGGTTAGGTCTAAAGCTAAGCACATGAATGAATTGATCCACCAAGTTTAATAACAATATTGTTGTTGAACGTAAAGAGAAATTAAATCATAGTACAGAATAGAATAAGAGGAGGGTTGCATTTCCCATGTACATGTACACACTGTAAAGTGATAAAAGAAAAGTTGATGGAGAGATGGGAGGATGGTAGGTATCCCCGAAAATGGGACCCCATGAGATTTTGAGCCGCTAACCATTCTTTCAACAAATAGAACATGCATGTCACTTGCATCTTTTTTACATATTAATATTATGGAGTTAATTATCATTTAAATTTTTAATAACTTCTAATTTTATAACACTAGAATTAATATTTTTTAAAAAACAAATAAAAAATCTGACTAATTAAGTTATATCTTTTAAAATTATACAACTTTAGATCTCTTAATATTTACATGAGCATCCTAATAGACATGTATTGTATAGCATATAAATAAATAAATAATGGCATGTTTAATTGAAGAGATATTCATGGGGATATTAAGTAAATTTCTCCAGCATATTTAAAGTGAATTTTCATAT